CAGCAAGGCTATCGAATGCGCTGACCAGCTGACATAACTTCCTCACATTCTTTACTGCCACCTTAATATATTCTTTCAGGTACTTACACAGACAGGAGTCACGACAGTCCCTCAACCTACCCAACAACCCGTAGCTCCCCAATCGCTCTACAGGTTGCAACTTACCAACTCACAAAACATCTACCTCACCGAAGCTAAAAGCAAGAAGGCGGAGGGGAGCTCCTCGTTCATTGCGGGAGTGAACCAAACGACTGGAACCAAGCCCTAAGAACTGGGAGCGAGAGACCAAAAACTATCAGTTTCTACGCTCGCACTGTCAATATTGTATACTGGATGTTGAAGTGGACAACATTTACACGTCGTGGGAAGACCTTCTTGTGTAATATTGAACGGCTGCTGGCGGAGTGGCATTCCGAGCTTCACGATAAACCCCTACATACCGTTTCATTGTTCAAAACGAGAACCGTTTTGTTTTCTCTCTGGTTGATTATTTTTGGAAGCAAGGACCGCCTGTGGTAGAACACAAGGTATCGACGACCAGTAACGACCAATCCCAACCACATAAGTCGCTAGTATCTATATTCTGAGCAGCTGTGGAACCCAGAAATATGTTTGGTTGGCTCTTCGAGTAAAATGCCTTCGTTACAGCAGTTAATGGTCGCGCCGAAGGTTCTAGGTCAGGACCACTTCTGTTCCTCCTGTTTGTCAACGATCTGCCAGATAAAATATCCTCACCCATCCTCCTTTTCACTGACAACATTAAAGTTTGGAGGGTGGTAAACGAAGAAGCTGATTGTTCAGCACTACAAAAGGACTTGCAGCAACTCTAGCTTTGGTCGTCGGAAAATGGCTTGGGCTTCAACCTGGAAAAGTGTAAAGTAATGCACATCAGTAAACATTAGGTAAGTACAACCGGCTTCCAGTACGTGTTGAGCAACCGTGCTATCACCAGAGTGTCCATGGAGAAAGATTTAGGGCTCAACTTCTCCGACATCTTGGACACCAGCTCCAACTACGAAGGTATGACAACCAGAGAGAACGTCATTCCACACTTTCTGCGAAGTCAGCTTGGCGCCCTCACTCCAAAACACTTCCTCACCATTTTCAAATCCTACGTGCGGCCGCACCTAGAGGTCTTCAATACGGTGGCTCTTTCAACACTCAAGAGAGACTCTAATCTCCTTGAAAGAATACAAATAACTACAACAAAATCAGTTGTGGGGCTAAGGGGAAAGACGTATCCTGAAAGACTTAAACACCTAAACCTATTTACCTTGAGTTATCGCAGGAAGAGTGGTGACCTCATTATGGCATACAAGACCGCTCACCAGGCAGACCATGCAAACAAATCAGTTTTGCCTGCAACTCAACGATCTTCACGAGGAAACCCCTTTAAGATAGCACACCAGAGAGCCAACACCATACTCAGGTCCAAATTTTTCTCCCTGAGAGTATGTGCCTTATGGAATGCCTTACCGCGACTTATCGTTATAGCTCCTTCAGTCGACTCTTTCAAGAGACGATTAGACAGTTATGTCACCTCGATGGACTACCACGGACGTACTCAGGTAGTCACCAACCTCAGTACCCGCCAACTCCCTCCTAACTACCACTCACTATCTCCCTCCTTAATACACCCATATTACCTACTAATTCTTCTGTAGGAACCAAACCCATGGACCATTCGGGCAATTCCCAAATACTTTTTTTCGCTCTTATTTCTCCTTTCACACCTCCTTTTCTTCTCCTTCCCTATCTTATTATTTTTTCTTCTTTCTCCTCTTTTTTATATTCTCTCTTCATTCCTAGACGCGAGAGATCAAAAACCACCAGTTTTCTACGCTCACACTATCAATATTGGATATTGGATTCCTTTACCACAACCTTACTATCCTCTTTCAGGCACCTACACAGACAGGAGTCATGGCAGTTCTCTAAACTTCCCAGCAACCCGTATCTCCCCAATCACTCTACAAATTACAACCTGCTAACTCACAAAACATCCACCTCATCGAAGCTAAAAGCAAGGAAGCAGAGGGGATTTCCTCGTCCACTGCAGGAGTGAATCGAACAACTGGAACCAAGCCCTAAGAACTAGACGCGAGAGATCAGAAACTACCAGTTTTCTACGCTAGTCCTGTCAATATTGGATATTGAAATGCCTTTCGGCCTTCAAGGTGACGTGTTTCGCTCGTCTCTCAGCTTTTGGATTTTTCCACAATGACAAACTCCCACTTTCAATACTCAATCTAAAAACATAGAACGTTTGCAGCACTTCTGTCCGTCCACGCACCTCACCCCTGCGCATTCGTCAGCTCACTCCTCAACTGTTGAAAATTGGCATTATTATTCCTTTGAACCAACCGGTCTACCTCCTGTCAGTGGTTCTTGGGCGTTTCAGCTGCCAAACTGCCTTAGCTCTCGGTTCTCCTCGGAGGTCATTCCCCAGGAAATATCTTCCCTGGTTATACATACGCATCTGGAGCTTACGGTTAAACTCGTTGGTCAAGAGCAGAGGATCAAGTGACAAGTGTCTGAAGGTGAGCCAACATAAATTATCTTCCCTTTTCTATTCTGTCCTTTTCCTGCATTCAGTCTTCAACCCTCTTATTGTTGTTAACTACTTGTTTTCCCAAGAAGTTTATATCTAGCGACATGTCTGCCCAAAACGCTAGGTCTGAAGCTTTGACACGGATAACGCGGTCGTGCACAACAACGGCCAGTAACACCCTAAACAACACACTAGTCTGTACTAGAAGGCAAACAGAGGTAGGGCAGAACATCGAACTTCTGAAGAAGTGGCCAACCCATGTTTCTAGAATTCCAGTAGCCATCAGACAGGTGACACAGAGTAGCACTCACCCGTCACAAACTGGTCCTATCTTGAGCAAGGATCATACCATGCCCGAAAATAGAAGACGACGTAAAAGGCTTCAGAACAAGGCAGCCACAAGCAGTTCGCCACAATCCGTAGCACCTTATTCATGGAAGGAAGGCTGTATTACGAAACTCGATGGCTGCAGTGTTTGCGCCAAAGTTGTTTCGGTAGTCGATGAGGCAATCTATGTCACCGATGGGCACATTGCCACTGCGACACCAAAGTCCTCCGACAGCACTATAAGCTGATGAAGAGACAACCATGCACTCCGCACAGGAGGCCTGAAGGAGATGCTCTCCGCCACGCAAAAGCTACCAGCATCCTTGAATAAAGTAGGGTTAACACCAAAGGATAACACAGAGAGACCTGGAAACAGACCTAGAGCTCCAGCTGTGGGCACGCCACCTCACGCGGGGACCATATTAGGTCAAGTCTCCATACCTCCTGCCCGGCCCCAGGGGACGTCAAGCGCATGGCCAAAGACATCGACCGCCGAAGCCTCTACGAAACCCATTCCGAACACCACACACACCGTGACTGAGAAACAACCAGTGGAATTACTCAAACCCATTGGGAAGTCGGGCGTGCCACCCACAACGAACCCAGGTCACAGGAGGACCAACTCGATCATTTTGTTCAACGTCGATGTATCGACAGACTCATTGTTGGTCGAGAGGGAACAATTTGACAGCCGAATGTGGACCGACTACTGTCAGATGCTGGGACTCCCTCCCCTCCCTGCAACTTTGTGTCGCCTTTCTCGAGGAAGCCATGCACCCCGAGATAAGCCCCCCCTTTACGTGTGTCCCTAAATACCGCCAAAGAGGCTGAAGACACACTCCTCCTCTCACGACAACCGGACGTTGTTAATGCCTGTAAAATTCGGGCCAGGCCTGACAAGCCATGGTCAGTAAGAGAGGAGGAGAGAAAGTCAGCGGTTGGAAATCCCAACAGAAACAACACTATAGTTGTACATGGGATTCCAGAATTGCCAAGTGACAGCTCGGTCAAAGATCGGTACTTTCACGACGTCCAACAATGGCAATGGCTCTCAACCAAAGTTGGTCTCAACAGTATACCGGCCAACAGCGTCAGTAGACTGCCAAGGCCAGCGCACCTGAAGACCATACCCAATCCCAGACTACTTGCCGTCCAGTTCGACTCATATGCCTCCCTCACAGACGTTCTGCACGCATGGTATAATGCGAAAGATCGCATGGGTGGCTCAATACGTATATGTGAAAGTAAGCCTAGACCCACAAGGCAAGAGGAGAGACGGCAACCACCAAGACCTCTGGAGTCAGTGGTCGTCACACAGAAGCTGACCAGTGAGTTAGATACATCAAGTAAAGAAGCCACCACTGCTACAGCCCCCACCCAAGTTAAGAACAAAACACAAAAAAACGGAACAATGCCAGTCCTATGAGGACTGGCGAGGCTAAATTCAACCACGTAAGCGCTCATCCCGCGAAAATACACATCCAGACCTCCCCTCTCATCAGGTACACTCTAATATGTATGTACAGCAACGTTAGGGGGCTAATAGGGAAGGTAGCAAAAATGAGGACGCTGCGTGAACATCAGCACTCCGACATCATATTCATCACCGAATCCTGGCTCTCATCGGACATCTCCGACGAAGAGATGCGTGTTGCTGGCATGGAACTCTTCCGCAGGGACAGGGAACATAGAGCAGGAGGGGGAGTGGCTATCTACGCAAACTCCTGTTTCAAGGCAAGGATGGTTAGCGATACGGCCTTAACCCAGCTCCCAGAGTCTCTATGGTGCTACTTCACTCTCTTCTTTATTCTCTCTTCATTCCTTTACCACTACCTTACTATTCTCTTCCAGGTACCTACACAGACAGGAGTCATGGCAGTTCTCTAAACTTCCCAGCAACCCGTAGCTCCCTAATCACTCTACAAATTACAACCTACTAACCCACAAAACATCCACCTCACCGAAGCTAAAAGCAAGAAAGCAGAGGGGATTTCCTCGTCCACTGCAGGAGTAAACCGAACAACTGGAACCAAGCCCTAAGAACTAGACGCGAGAGATCAAAAACTACTAGTTTTCTACGCTCGCACTATCAATATTGGATATATATTGGATATTGGAAGGTGGACAATTAACGCGGTTGTTGTGGTCGATAAGCAGGGTCATGTTTACTCGGTGTTTGAGGTTATTACGAGCAAACAGGTAGATTTGGAAGCCGTTAAATACATTTATCAGGTTAATGAAAGATTCAGCCTTGCAATGTTTAGTTCCACTCAGGTGGATGTCATCACTTCCGTTTGGAAATGTACGCACATCGTATTTGGTCTTCGAATACTTTTTCAGAAAATACGACTTGCTCAGTGGGGTGTTTTCATTGGTTTTACGGGTTTGGTTGCTGGAGGGGCGATATACATGTCAAATGACCTCAAAAAAGGTTAGCAACACTAAACAATGAAGTGAAATTTAGGTGTGGGTTCGTTTTTCTGTTACATTTTCTCACAGGTAGGTATTTTGTCAATGTGACTCCCCTTATGTCGTATGGCATTATGTGGGTACTAAAGTAGTTAACTAAATTGGACGAAACACACCCAGTGCAGAGTGTGAGTCGATTAGTTGTCGCATTTAGCTGATTGGTGCATGGTTTCTGGTTGACGCTTTTATTAGGTAATGTTTTTTTTTTTCACGACGGGACTCATCCGGATAATATTTGAGGGTAATAGCAATGCAATTATACAGAAACCAATTAGTTTTACGACGTATTCTGTAGCTAAACAGAAGTGACGACACGTCAAATAACTGTCTCTGGTATTAATAGAATTTCCATCTCGACTCTGTACCTGGGGCTTAAGTCTGTGCTGGTTGTCGTTCCGTTTTGTCGTACTGGATTAAATATCTTGATATGGTACATCTTTAGATGATAATCTTAATTGATAGTGTAACTAGTGTTTGAAAAATAGCGTATGTAAAATGAATGGTTGTTTTAGGGTAATTTGTTCACTGTGGCAAGCAGTAACGTACACCAAATGCACATCAAGGCGTGTTATAGTCACCGTAGAATAACTTTCTTTTTGGTGAGGTGTAAGATGCTGTGCAGTGCAAGGATTCAATCATACTGACGCTGAGGACTAATGGAGCGGTCGTATCGCTAGACAGGTAGTTTCTTTGATTTGGTAGTAGGTAGCGAAATCATGCCACTTCTGTCAAATTCCGTTTGTGGTACTAATGTAGCATCCTGATATCTGTAAGTTGGTAGGAGCACTGTTGCTCTACGCTTGAGATATGAAAACGGATTACTAAGAGTGTCTAGGCATTTCGTCACAGACGGCTTTGGGAAATTGCTTACATGTGTGGTAGTCACTAGTGTTACGCTCTGAATAATTAATGTTCACTTTGGTTTGTGTTCTTGTGTGGAGAACGACTGAGTTCGAAAAGACCAATCTCACGAAAACTGAGCGAGACACCGATGTATGCAGTCTGCCAGTCGGGAAGTGTCGTCGAGTGTAGGCCTTTCTGATTTACTCGGGGCTTTGGAAAAAACGGACATAGATTCTAGTGAAATGACACAAAACCTATCACAATGATGCTGAGAATCCGATTGTTAGCTTTCCTTGGAAATTCGAACATCGTGTAAGTGTATTTATCCTTCCTCACCAATTATTACCCCAGTTAATTTTAACGTCTTTCACACGATTATGAATTACGTACGTCTACACTGTTTCAGGATGTGTCAACGGACCCAATATTTGTGGACGGTACAGCCTACGTTAGCAAAAATTACTTTTTAGTCATATTGTGTTTTCCTATTCTGAATAGAATATTTGATCATAATAGATGTGATCACAGAAGCGTCTAGGTACTTATCGTTAGTGGTAACTTATGACACGAACACCAGTTTTTTTTTACCGGTAGATACTCTGAGGAATAATTGTGGCAATTAATGTTTTTTTTCGCAAATCATACTAGTTATCAAGCTGCTGAAGCATTAAAATCTTGGAGACAATTCTAGAGTGTTCAGTTTAGTGGTTCTTGGTTCGTTGGGCTAACTGCAGATCTAATCCCTTCCAAACTCTGTTAGATATATTTCAACATGTATTGATGTAATTAGCATCACTATCGTAGATTTAAAAAGACACATTTATACTTTCAACGATTTGAAACCATATTTTTCATTATCCAATAATACATTTGGAATTTACGAATCAACCAAAGCTGCCATTTAAAACTAGGAGATATAGCCCGAAATTGATCAGTCTCAAATCTATGCGTACTGTATCTTCATCGTAGTTATAATATCGCCTCCCTGTATTTGCTTCGTCGTTTTCTTTTACGACTTTCTATAGCCTTCGGCTGTTGTTTTCATTTCGTCATCTTTACATTTCATCCTTAACATCCTCATCTCAGTTTTTGATGTTCGGTGTTACAACATGAACCACCACAAAGTAATATCATAGTCTCCGTCAGCCGCTGATTTGTGAAAATGTTTAAAGTTTTGGCTGACAATTATATCATTGCCCAAGGCCGCTACCAATAGTATTGCCATGACACCTTTTAACTTACACATTTTAATGTTTAAGCCTATGCCTTTCAGTTAGTTCATACACTAGCCTGTGATCTCTATCTGGTGGCGAACAATTCAGTAGTTGAACTTGTTTGTCAGCAGTCTGGTACTTTCATCTGTGAGCTACGGATTCACATGTATTTGGGTGGTTGCATGTAACTTGTTAAAGGGGTTCAAACAAGCACTCTTTTTTGTCCGTATGTTTATTGAAATGTGTAAAATCTTAAGCTTATCCTGACACTACTGCAAATAATGTTTAAGCTACCTATGTGGTTTTTTGATTTTAAATGCTACTTGTAGTAATGTATGTGTATTAGGTGGCATTTTTCATGTCTTTGTTGTACTTTCTTTAGTCAGAAATTATTTTCTCAACATTAGATTGTTTCCAGAATTGATCACAGTTTAGTTCTAAAGGAGATACAGATCCTTTAATACACGTGAATCCACCCCTGAATCGTCATATTGTGATAGGATTATACTTGTTTTTCATTCTTGCCTAGATTTGATTACGGAGATACATTGATTGAATACTGTCTTGGCTGTTATTTTTAAGGTACTCCACCCTATCTTATATGGGTTTCACAATATTTTTAAATTTATTTGAAATTTTTAGCCGAGTCGTCAAACAAATCATTTGGTCGCCCTAAAATCGGTGGGGATTTTAACCTGATTGATCATCATGGAAAACCATGCACATTAGCTGATTTTTGTGGAAAATGGGTTCTGTTGTACTTTGGATTTTGTCGTTGTCCGGATATTTGCCCGGAACAAATAGAAAGGCTTGTTGAAGTGTGTGACAGAATAAGTAAGTTTTTAAGATAGTTCAATAAAAGTACTATTGGAGAATTATAATTGATGCAGCAGTTGACATTGTATTTCTGGCTGTTTTGTGACTTTCAACGGTCCACTTTCTCGTAAGGTGGAGTGTTCATTGATAGTCAATACTTCGAACCATTAGTGTGACTAGTGAACTGCTGCTAAGTCGCCTCCACTCTCATTTTTGAGTCATGTTTGATTGCATCTGAGGGTACTAAATTGTATGACCTCAAGGACCTCACTCAGCGGGGAAGGGGTGGTCGGGAGGTAGCAAAGGATGTTATAGCAACAGAACCATGTTTCTCATGATGCTTTTTCGAACACACCACTTAATCTCATTGTCGATAAATAGGGCTAGGTGGCCGTAAAATATGTTCATGTTACAAAATTATTTTATTTACCACGGTATCTTAACGCAGTCCTTTTACATCACAATTACCTATTTGGTGTTATGACTGAACGTGCAGGATAACTGACGGCGATCTAGTGCACAACCGTTATCAACTATAAGCTTGGAGCGGTAAGGTTTAAGAAGCATAAAATAAGACCATCCTTACCAAAGCATTGTCCATTCAGTCATGAACAGACAAAAACAGTAACAATTATGCATGGAATTAATATATGCTGCTCTGGTTTCTGCTGTATGAAGAATTAAATTCGCCACTTTTTTTTTATACCTGTAGCTAGTGCATCCAATTTTGTCAACTTTGCATAAGTACTATACGCTCATGTATTCTGGCGGCGAAAAGTATACCACTTACACGCACCAATTGCCATAAGTTCGAGTGCTATTTTCTCAGTCTGTGTATTATCGAATGAAGTGATGTCTGCGTGCCCAATATGAGAGCTTTTCTTTAAGTAATAAACCTACTACACAAACATGCACATCAAAACTCTCAATTTTGTCATTTATAGCACAGCTAGAGAGGTGGTTATATTAGTCGACCCTATCCAAATGAGATACCGGTTTAAAGTGATAAACAGTTGGTTGAATGCTCTCATTCTACTTAAAGTGTTTTGTATGGAGATTTCAAAAGTCTGATAGGCTTTTTAAGGACATTTGTAGTGCATGCCTAGTCACCGTCTGCCCTATCCGTTCAGTGTTAGCTGAAATAGGTTCAGGGTGGAAAAAGGTTGGAAGTTGTCAGAATAAAATATGGTATCGGTCCCCGAAGATTTTGACTTCTGGTCTAGCCGTGTAGGGAAATGTAGGCTTACAGATTGAGGTCTGCGTGACAACCGAAACCAGTGGTTGTAAATTCAAGGTGATATGGTTCGGAATCATTTCCAATGACGTGGATATATCCAGACATTATCTTCATCTTAATCGTCATACTGGATTCAGTATTTCCTCACCCCTCCTTACTCTCTTCTGGCGACTCTTGACTGCTTTCTTATTTGCTCCTTTGTCTTTCATTTTAGTGCATTCTGGCTTGATGTGCTGATTTGAGGTGTGGTAATTTGAACCGTTGTTCAGTAATGCCAGATCCTATGCTAATTTTGTCTGGTAAGACACTTACAGCTCGTTTGACTTCCACGTCCCTCATTCAGTTTGTTTTGAAGATGTGGACGATGATGGTTTGAATCTGGAGTGGTAGGCTAGTTTGAGTTTGCCGCATCCTTTCAAAAGTTTAGCTTAGAGCTCTAACATGAATGTTAACTCCATTCTTAATCAGAATCTCAGGTATATCTTTTGTGTTAGATATGTTATTGACTCACCTGCAATTGGAGCTCTTTACGAGTCCACACTTGTTTGGGGTCCTTAGTAATATAACTGTATAGCGAAAGATCCTTCATTCAAAGCTGTCAGAGCTACGGGTGCTGCTGCATTTTAAAGTGCTCATGATGTGGCCTTCATTTTGAAGACTACTGACAAACGCTTCGCATGTTTCATAGGTTATTTGTCTGGAATTAAATGCGTTTCTATCAATAGCTTCGGGGAGCTAGAACACTTGATATTTTTCAGCATACATCACCTTCCTTTCAACTCGGTGATGGAACTGTGACTCTTGTCTATGGAGTTGACTTTCAACCAGTGGGTCACGGATCCCTACCCCACTACACCTACTGAGGTTTGAGCATCCAGGTAGTATCATTAACCCCCAGACAATGGGTGTGGCTCATTGCCTAGCGCATAAATACGCACTTATGTGCACAAGGTTGCTGAGTACATGGAAAAAAATCACATCACTAGTGGATCCGTGGACATCAGTTTCTAATTCCTCTTCATCTACCGAAATTTGGGCAGCCAGGTGATATCATTAGCCTTCACATAAAAGGCGTAGTTCATTGCTTAGTGTATGGATGTGCATACGGTTGCAGAGAGAAAGAGAGTTTACTTTTGGAGACTTCGGAGCATTGTTGCTTTAGTTCAGGTTTGAGTGACATATGCCGTTTAACATGAACATTTACAAACTGCCAGATTTATGGGAAACAAAGAAAAACGGTAACAATATAAGTGTGTGATAATCACACCCCAGCAATGGCCTATAATTATGAAATCAATAGTTCTACTGAGAAATCTGTGGCTTACGCACTGAAGCGTTGAAAGGTTTTGGTTTGATTTTCAATTTGATTAGGCTAAATTGAAATGTTTAAAATAATAGTCCAGTTAGACTTGGGACTCACATCTCAGAACTTTCGTAACATCTGTAGTTCAGTTATTTGTCATCGTAGTCCGTCTCCTATATTCCTTTTTTGCAATTGGGTTTGTGTGAAGGCTGTAACACTCCTTGGACACTCAAATTGAAGCACTTTCTTATTTCAACGGATGCACAAAGCTATGATTTATAATGTAGTCTACGAAGTAATTGGGCAAAGTCGGGTCGCATCGTCATGTTGTCAACTGGTCAAAAAAGCCATGTATATCACTCGCTCCTTTAGCCTTCTAAAGTGTATGTGGAACAGTGATTTTGGTTTCAGAGTTGTTGAGTTCCCTTGATAAACCCTCTGCATCCATGTTACCCTATGATATGCACCAGTAAACTATTTTTATAATTTCACTATGGTAGGAATAGTCCAATGTAACTTTCATAGTGATTGTGTTGGTGTCATCATCATCAATCATCATTATCAACATAGGACCAGGCATTACTGCGTAACGGTCCGAGTTGCCACACCTCATATCAGCACATCAAGTAAAAAGGTAGTGAGGTGAAGGATGAAGATAAGTGAATGCAGTCAAAAGAAATATAAAGTACGAGAAGAAAGGAAAGAGGAGTGACAAAATAGTGAGATTCGGTATAGCGTTGTTAAGATGAGGATAATGTGTGTATACATCTGCGCCACTGACTTCGGTTCTGAGCCATATCACCTAGGGTCTCCAACCACTGGTTCCTCTTGTCCCGTGGACCCCAACCACCTAGTCTGCATCGTCCTACATGGCTTAAACCAACAGTCAGAGACTTCATACATTGGTGCCATGTTTTAGTCTGGCCACCTCGGGCCTTTTTCCAGCCTGAACCCACCTCAGCCAACATTGTGTGACGAGGCAATCGGTGACTAGGCATACGTAGTACGTGTCCCAACCATCTCAGTCGATGAAGGTTCACAACCTCGTCGACTGACTTACCTCTTCTCCCTAAAACTCTACACCTAACTTCTGCATTACTCACATGGTGACACCACGGAATACGTCCTATACTACGAAGGCAACGGTGGTCAAACACCTGAAACCTTCTCATGTCTTCCACTTTCAATGGCCATGTTTCACAGCCATACAGTAGAACAGAGCGGACTGCTGTGCAGTACACGCGACCCTTAATAGACAAACGAATATCACGGCGGCGCCATAGGTGGCGCAAATTGGCAAAAGCCAATCGAGCCTTTTGTATCCGTGCAGAAATCTCATCGGCAACTAACCCACCGGGTTGATCCTACTTCCCAGGTAAGTGAAGTGGTCAACACACTCAACCACTTCACTCTCTATTGTTAACCGCGGTACCGCTGAAGACCAGTCCTGGAGCAAAAATTTGCATTTGGGTGGTGAAAATCGCATCCCAAACATTCTCAAATTCCCACTCAAAGTGTTCAGAAGACTCTGCATCTTGTCAGCGTCTTCACCTAACAGGACTATGTCATCTGCATATTCTAGATCTAAGGAAAATTCACCTGTGATCCGGTCAACGTCTTTGTAATTAGGTGACGAGAGGGAAACCTCCATAAGAATATCTATGATAAAATTAAATAAGAATGGGGATAGTGGGCATCCTTGACGGACACCACTTGATGAGTATAGCTCCCTGGACAACTCACCATAGGCTCTAACATGCCCACAAGTGTTCGAGTAGAGAGCTTTCAATAAGGTGATGTACTTACTAGGCACGCCTTTCAGTGACAGACACTGCCATAAGACTTCTCGATCAACGGAGTCAAATGCCGCCTTCAGGTCGAGAAATACAGCTATTGTCGGGCGTCTGTAAGCATGCCTATGTTCCAGGACCTGGCGCAGTGTGAATATTTGGTCGATACATCCACGGCCAGGTCTAAAGCCTGCCTGGTTTTCTCGGGCTTGCTGTTCCCGAGCTCCACTCAGGCGTCGGAGAATTATAGAACTTAGGATCTTAGACACTATGTTTGTCAGGCTGATTCCTCTGTGGTTATCACAAGAGGACTTCTCGCCTTTCTTGAAGACTGGGATGATGAGTGACTTAGACCAGTCGGAGGGGATCGTATTTGATTCCCATATACTGGCTAACACTTCCGTTAGCCTGACTAAGAGAACTCTACCACCATTCTTGTATACCTCAGCAGGTAGTCCGTCTGGTCCTGCTGCCCTTCCCGTTTCAGGCTACCTACCGCTTTCTCAACTTCTTCTAGTGTTGGGGGACCTGTCTCTATGTCCCATTCAGGGTCCGACTGGATAGCGGGCAGCGCAATGGTGGCTGGAGGCCAGTTAAACTGTTCCTCAAAGTGTTCTGCCCATCGTCCCAGTCGCCTTCCCTGCGAGTGAATCCAGATCCGTCCTTCTCCGCTATAACCTCACTAACTGTTGTTGACCATTTCCCCCCAGTCTCCTTAATAAGTCTAAATAACTGTCTACTGTTACCGATCGCCGCTGCCTTTTCCATCTCTTTAGCCTTTGCTGCCCACCACTGTTCACGATCGTTGCGCAGACTTTTCGTCAGTTATTTTTAAGTTGCGCTCGCTCTTCATTGTACTCAGAGCCTGCAGGGATGCATTCACGTGCATCCATTAGTTTGGAAGAAGCTGCTGATATCCACTGGCTCTTTTTAGCCATTATCTTGGAGTCGGCTACAGTCTCCAGTGCTGCTTTTACAGTAGACTGAAGATGGCACCAAGCTTCTTCTGGATGAGTGACAGTCTTTTGTTCCGATAACTGCCTAGCCAACTTCTCACTGAACACGGCTTTGGTGTTTTCGTTGTCCAGCAGAACTCGTAGTGGTTTTGTTGCCAAATTTTTTCTACGTCCATTGAGACGCAGGCATATACGTGCTCGGACCAACGCATGATCGCTGTCCAAACACGTACTCCAGAAGGAGCGGCAGTCTTCCACCGATCCTCTCCAGCGATGACTAATAGCAATGTGGTCTATCTGTGTCCATCGCTGAGTCGAGCTCGGTGGACGCCAGGTCAGACAGTGCCTTTCTTTATGTCTGAAATTTGTGCTGGCTAAAAATAGGCGGTTATCTGAGCATAGTTGTAATAGGCGATCACCGTTATCTGTACGTTCAGCTGGGATTCCGAAAGTGCCACCTAAGTGCCTTTCTGCCTCACTCAGTCTACCCACCTGTGCGTTGAGGTCACCTGCAACAACCACTACGTCCGAACGTTTGGCTTTCGAGAGGAGGTTAGACAGTTTATGGTAGAACTCGTCCTTCACTTCATCCGAACTACAGTCAGTGGGTGCGTAAGCAGAGATTACAAAGAGACAACGGCGAGTCTCACTATTCCTTTTAGTTCTCACTGTGCCGTTCAGCCTCATAGCGCAGAGGCGACTATCAACTGGGATCCAGTCTAGTAGTGAGTTTTCTGCCCTGGTGCTTAATGCTATACCTACACCTGCAAGACCACGAGAGCTAGCTATCGAATCTCCAGAAACTCGAAGGGCGGATTCACCAGATTGGTCAGGAGAGGTCAGGTGAATAACCACACTTGGGTCCTGTATGCGTGTCTCACAAACACAGCACACATCCATGCCCGAGTTGCTAGAGTCTTTGCCAACGAAGCCTGTTGGCCAATTTGACGGAGGGTGCGGACATTGAAGGCTCCAATATGTAATTTGGAGCGTGGTTTAAGGAGACCAGGGATGCTGTTCTGTGGACTCAGATCGTTGTCGAAGGCTGCAGAGGTAGGAGAAATTGAAGATGATGCAGCATCATTAATTAAGAGACGTGAAGGAAGATTAGAAGGTAATGATGGAGGAGGAGGATAGCAGTCAGAAGAAACTTGGGTGCTGACAGAGTTGTGAGGGCGGTTGACACTTCCCGGCTGCCCACACCGTGGAAGGCTATTTCTTCTTAAGGTACCTGAAAGAGATTTGTGTGACCGCAGAGCCCATCGGACATCTGCTTGAGGCCTGTCACACCCAGCCTTTTGAGTATGATTATTTTGAATTTTGTATTTTTGGGGCCGGATGGTCGAAAGGAAACGACAAGTGAACCAACACCGCCGGCCCGGCAGACCGTGGGGCGTGGTGGAGTGTGTTATTTTTGGGGCCGACCTTTTCTAACCCCCCCTTCCACTGAGAAGGCAGCATCAGCTTGGCACTGCTGGTCATCCAAGGGAAACACCTTACTGCTGTCACACCCCATCCAGCTAGCAGCAGTACGACTTCGCCCTCAGACCCCCATCATAGTGTAGCAATTTACACTATGACGGTAACTGCTTTTCGTCTAACCACTACCCAACAGACCTTTCTGGTATGGTAGGACCTCGAGGGAACAAGCGTTCCACCAGCATAGCTCGTTGGGTCATTGTGATATGCAAGCCCGACCACCACGTCAAGGTAGCAGCTATCGGTCGGGATTGTGTTGGTGTGCCGTTGTGTGAAAGGGTTTATTGAGAAGGTCGGACTCTGTTCATTGTTTCTCGAAACTCTAGAACAAAGTGGAAAGATAAATGTTAACATACATTCCTTTGGATTATATTAGAAAGCTCTCAGGTTCCGGTACTTTTAATAAAGCATTTCATTTCTACATTGAAGGCATACTTTTTTAATGTTTAGAAGATCACTTTAGTTGGGATAACAGGAAATCAGTCAACTCACAACCTGACTACCGTAATACTTCAACTTGTTTTGTTTCATTTGCTCGCCCTTCAGCTGGTGAACATTACTTTTTACTAGAGATTGCTTCGTTTTTTCCCCTTTAGATATTTATTATCTTTGTCTTCATAATTAGTATTAAACCTCTGAGCTATTCGTTTCGTTGTTCTTTATTTCAGTGTTCGATTTTCGAAATACTGAAGTCAGTTTTCATGACTTAGTCGAATCCATTCAAGAAACAGCGAACTCTAAGGTAGATTAGATGACTGAATTGTCACAGTTTACTGTGTTAACGTTTCACAGCCTCGATAACTTCCGATATTGAACCCATTATTTTAAATTATGGAAACGAATGGTTCTTTGTGTCAACTAGTGACATCGTCTCGTCAAAATAGCTTATTTTAAGCCTTCCAGGAATGACTTTTTGATGTTGGTTGTAAAGATATTTATTGTTTAGAATATTGGACCTTGTCTAGTTCCTAACTCCTACTTTTTTTATCTTCAGTGCTCACTAAAAAATCCAAATATCCTTTGGTCCCGGTATTTATGACCGTTGACAGTGAACGTGATACCCCGGATGTTGTGGATAAATATATTAAAGGTAATGCGGAATTTTATTGTGAACTTCAGATTATTTATTATTTGTATGGATATTTCGTTTCAAAGTGGTTTGCAGGAATCTCTGAATTTACGTTCTTCGCTGCAAAAGATACTTACTTACTTACTTCCAAAAACACTTACAAACGGTGCGAAACTTCCTTTCCTGCCAGCAAACATTGAAGCTACCTGTTGTAGCATTCTGAATGGCTCATCATTAAATTATTCTATTGTAACCCGGAAAAATATGATTTCAGCTCGGTCATTAAATAACGAATCCTACACATGTGTTGTTTTCATTCATCCATATAACCTTCTGGCAAGCAAATCGTATATATGCCTATGTTCACATATTCAGTGTGACGGCGATTGCAAAAAAGAGTGAACAAATAGATTGTCTTGGTAAAACATGACAACATTTGGGGTTTAGTCCACCACTGATAGGTGCATACACAATAATAGTTTTGTCTCTACCCTTTTATGTAAACATTGTACCGGTTTCAGTTGCAAAACAATAATGCATCATAGTAGGAAGCAATGAAGAAAGTAAATGGAGACTGTAATATTCATAGTCAGGAGGAGGAAAGATAAAGGCTTGTAATGGATTATATCAACACACAAAAGCTGATTCACTACACTATTCTACCACTATAAATGTGGCTAAATATAACTGAATTGAATAAGGTGTGTTCAATACTAACAGTTATTTTGTTTTGTGTCTTAATAAATGTGATTGTATTAATACTTGCAACACTGGCTGATGATTGAATGTGAAGGGTCGCGGCAAGATTTAAACCAGTGGCTTCCAGATTACCGATTGCGTACTCTACCAACTGAGCTACGAGACCCTGTTTGCTGACCAGGTCTTAGTTTCACTTCTATCACCAAGATCTAGTTAGCAGTTGGGTCTTATAGCTCAGTTGGTAGAGAACCTAACTGGTAACCTGGAGGTCACTGACTGGCTTTCTCAAATAGTCAAATCATTAACTTGCAACTTTCCTGATCATAGTTCAAAGGAGTGAATGAAGAACGAAACTCAAGAGGTTTCTCGATAAATTTTGCAAAATTTCACCTTCCATATTTTAGACACGGCCAATGTGTAACCCAGTAGGAGCTTATGTTGGACTTCGTGAAGCTGTGGCTCATTGGTTTAGGGAGGTGACTTTCAACTACTGGGACACAGGTTTGGGCCGTGCTCCACCTACGAAGTTTGTGCAGCCAGGTAGTATCACTAGTCTTCACACAGTGGGTATGACTCATTGGTTACTACACGGATGTGCAGCTGACTGCATATTGTTCGTTCGTTTCGTGTCTTGAATTTAAAATACACAATGTGTAAAGTGCCTAGAAATTTGAAGTAATAGCCTCAAAATTGTAATTCTGCATTTTTTTATTATTCGATTCTAGGAGTTGATTGATATGAAGCTTTAGGGCCAGACTTTACAGATGCATTCATCTTCAGTGTACCATGTTTGCGCTTCACACTGTGCCATACAGCTCTAGCTATCTGTTGCAGTAAACATGTTTAGTACAGAAGACGTCCATTTTAGTTGACTTATTAGATGTATCACACAATAGAACAGTATTATCATTTAGCGGATTACGTTTCGGACACAATTTACTGTCCATAGTCATATCAGGATAACTACACGACTCTGGGACATCATTGTCGATGTAGTCCTAATTCCCACCCCACCCCTTTTTTGATATGGGTAGAAGGATTTTCTATATATCCAAAACTGGTGCTGAGTCATTTCTGTTTCAGGTATCAAGTGTCGATTCGGTCAACAAAGATTTAGTTATGAATCTCTCTTTCCACCCTGCGAGGTTAATTTTGACGGTTTTCACCCTATCACATGTTATTATGTAGTTGTATATAATGGCATACATAACCATGACCAAGCCTATCTCTAGATTCTTTATCTTACTAGGATCGACCAATTTTGATCTAGCTGAGTTGTTAACCTGGATAGCCTAATTGGACCTGGTTGACTAGTGGCAATACTATTTTGTTATTATTTTCCCTTTGGGTTCTTAGTGGAACATAGGGCTTCAGTGGCACGTCACCGTTCCACTCTCTTCTCTGCAGTCTTTTCAACCTGGCTCCATCACTGCCCACAAGCTCTCATTTCTTCCCCACACCATCTCCTCCATGTCATCCTCGGACACCCAACTCGCCGTTTCCCCTTTGGGTTCCACTCGACGACCTGGCCTGGCGCGTGATGTCCCCGAATAGTCTCCTCAGTGTATGTCCAATCCAATTCATCTCCACTTTATTCCTCTGTATATTTGTTGGGCGATAGATTTTTGGTTGGTTCGCTACCAGACCAGAGTTTCTTGTTGCGTATTCTTTCTGGCCATCTGATCTGATCTTCAGTATCGAGTGAGCGTAGGCGACAGCTGTTCATGTATGTCTGTAGTTTATTGGGAATGCTTTTCGTAACGCGCCAAGTTTCTGAGCCACATAGAAGCACTGATTTGACTGAATTAGTGTTGAAAATCCAGATCTTGTTCAGGCTTTATACTGGGTGTAGTGCAGTGCAGTAGATCTCCACACTGGTTTAAGGTTAATGATTGTAACTTTCCTCTCTTTTGATTTGAATCTTGCTGTCATGATCCTGATGCTGGAGGAGATTGGTTCCCATTGCATGAGAGCCTTCGATGCTCTTGGTGACATTATGAAGGTGTCTCAAAACCTTAGTGTGCTCTTGATTGTAGTCTTGATGACAATATCCAAGTAGATTATTGACTCTCCTCTCCAGTTGACAGTTTGGGGAGTCTACTTCCAATCCATCTGCTTTCTCAGATTCCTAGCACTTCTATGCCATACCTTCTCATCTCTTTTGCAATCTGGGCAGCCTTGTCAGCCAGCTTCAAACATTGTGCGGACATTCCATGTTCCTATGCTTACTTTTGGTTTCATCGAGAGAAGAGAAGACACATCGACCAATTGGCTTTTTGAAGGCTTTCACCAACCCTCGTCATTTCGTCTCCCCGATTCCAGAGAGGAATAAGTTTATTTTTTATATTTTCTCTGTGCTTTGAAGTTTCTTTAGCGGTTGGATTGGTTTCCCGGGTTAGGGTTGCTAGCCCTATGCTCAACCTTCCCTCTTTTTCCGGGCTTAAGACAGGTTTGTTAACTACTAAACTAGGCGAGGTTAGTGGCAATATTGTGAAGAGAGAATTCAAGGCCTCTATAGTATCACTAAACAAAGGAGGCACCTTAGAGGCGTTACGTAGGGTTCTCAGAAAGGCTGGATTAGAGTGGCATTTAAACCTACAAACTCATTTCGAATAAGCTTTGTCCGAGCACAAAAGCCTAGCTAGGTCAAAATTGGTAGGTCTTAGTAGGGTAAGAAATTTAGAAAAAAGCTCAGCTATAGCTATGCAGAGAATTACACGTAACCACGCAATGGAATAGGGTGAAGACTCTCAAAATTAACCTAGTGAGGTGGAAGGGGAGATTCGCAACTGAACCTTTGTTGATCGAATCAACACGTGACACCTGAAACAGGAATAACCCAGCACCTGTTTCAGCTATGTGGGAAATCCTCCCACCCATATCACAGAAAGGGTGGGGTGGGGAATTTAGAACTGCATCAGCAGTGATGTCCTAGAGTCGTGTAGTTATCTTGATATGACTGTGGACAATAAATTATGTCCGAAACGTAATCCAGCAAACAAAACTGTCCCACTGTATGACACTTCTAATAAGTCGACTAAAATGGAATTACATTCTACAAGTGCTCAAGTTTTACTCTTATATCACAGAAAAAGTGATTTATGCGTTGGCCACTGATTTACAAGACTAGTTTCATAAGAGAGAAGGATGGTCACATTTTCTCTTAGGTATTAGAAAAAGCTGATCAGCTGTAAAAAGTATTAATTGTCAAATCAACTCAAAATATGAAAGTGCTTGATGGTCATGTTTTTGTCTACCCTTATTCAATGAGTTGTACCATTTTGACGATCCTTATCTTGGTAGCTTATAGTCTCCTGAAATTATTATCAACTATTAAGTGTATGAAGACTGCGAACCAACCGTTTCACTGCCTAAAGTTTGAGGGCATCGTTTAGTTATATGCTTCCTTTTTCTCACATTTTCATTTTAAAGTGTAACCATAGTAGTTTTCAGGAAAACAGAAATCCACTTCTACGTTGGTTTTGATGCTTTTTTTTGTGTGACCACAGTAAGATGCATTCCGTAAGGTGATGGTGTTATTTTTTCATGATAAACTCAGTAACATGTAATGAGGTTATCCTAAAGTTGTTGTGTAGTAAATCCTTGTCGCTTATCAAATCAAGCTAATACTAATTAGATGTCAAAGTAAACAGTAGAAATGGTTTCAATATTTTTTTCATTTAGAATTTTCACCAAATCTAGTTGGTCTCACCGGCTCTAAGGAAGAAATCGATAAGGCTGCTAAAGCATTCCGCATTTATTACAGTGCTGGTCCAAAAGATGCTGATGGTGATTATATCGTAGGTTTCACTGATATTTCATTTTGTAGCACGTTAACAGATTGTGATAACTAGTATGAAGGTTATGCTCGAGTTTTGAGTGTTTTGGTTACAGCCTTCAGCTTTTCACTGAATGATTTTCAACTAAAATCTGCTTGAAATCGCAGCCAAGCTAGTAAAATCCAGTCGACTTTGAGAAATATCGACCAAAAGTGCACAAATTAGCAAATAGTATACAAGTCAGGCAATCGACAATATGTGTAATACATTACACGAAATCTAGCTTACTGTCTGTCACACTGGTGGTTTGCTCATCCTTCATCAAGGGAAGTTTCGCTTGTCACCTTTGAACAAAGAACTTCATCTTCAATTTTTTTGGATTCCATCACCAGTCACTATCCCTCATTCTAATCAACACTGCCAATTAGTTTTCAGGATAATCTCTTTGTGATCGTTAATATTACATAATCCATTTGCATGTACATTATCATTATGCGATCGCATTGAGTTGCCATTTTGCATTTTCGTGCACCAATTGCAAATCTTATGTATAGGAAGATCTTTTAATGCCTATTTTCATCTCCAATCACCTGTAGCGTATTTATCATAATCATCAATCCAAGAAGTATACGTATACACACAAACTAATCTCTGACATTTTTACGTGGTACAGAGAATTACAAAATAACCCATATTCAAAGCCGATTTTTAGGTGGGTGTATATGCACGTTTAAAAGCAAACTTTTATTAGTGCTATTATAACAGCTTCTCGTTTGAAAAAGGTTGATTGTCATCTCCTATATTCACACGTGGTCACCAAATTGTCTTAATCGTATAAGCAAAATAGCTCTTGTTTGCACTTTCGTATCTGATATTTTAATTCGGACGAGACAGACAGATAGATACAGACAAATCGATATAGAATCTCCCCCATGGGCACATCAGTTCAAGTTGCCGCACTTCACAGTAATGTGCAAGGAACAAGTGGATAGAAAAGATTGATGTCAAAAAAGACAAAAAGGTATATGGAAGGAGAGGAAATTTAAAAGTTAAGGTTATTCAAAACATCCAAGCTTTGGAAAACATCAAAGAGTGAATACATCTGCGCCATTGTGACTGATTTCCAACCATGTCACAGAGAATCCTCAACCACCGATTTTTATGGTTCCGAGGACTCCAACCAGGTAGTCTGGATCTCCCAACACGATTGAGACCAACCATCAGCGACTTCATCGACTGATGCCAGGTCTTGATCTGGTCACCCTGAACCCTGTCCCAACCCAATCCAGCTTCCCGTATCATGGGATATCCAGGTCTCCGTAATCACAGTCAACCAGATGACCTCCAGTGAAGGCAGACAGGTTTACGTCCATCAGTACGTCTATGAGGAAGTTAAATAGAAACTGTGACAGTGATCATCCGTGGTGGATACCACTAGTTGTCGTCAATTCAGATGACAACTTTCCATAAGCCCTTAAGTGGCTGCTTGAATTCAAGTAGAGGGCTTTGATAAGTTTTGTATACTTGCTCGGTACTCCTTTCACAGCCCCGCATTGTCACAACATCTTACTGTCGACAAAGTTGAGTACTGTTTTCAGATCAGGAAATATGACCAGTGTCGGCGGCCGGTAAGCATGATTGTGTTCCAAAACCTGTCAGAGGGTGAAAATATGATCAATGCATCCTCGTCCAGGTCTGAAACCTGCCTGGTTTTCCCAACTTGGCTGTTCTCGAGCTCCAATTAGCCGTCGAATAACTATTGACCCTAGGATCTTGAACACAATAATCAAACTAATTTTCCTATGGTATTCACAAAAAATTTCGCCCCCTCTTTATAGACTGGGATGATCAGTGAAGCAGACAAATCTCATACGTCACTTAGTACCGCCGTTGGTGTGATAAGCGATTTCCTACCACCATTCTTGAAAACTTCAGGTGAAAAACCGTCAGGTCCAGCTGCTTTGCATAGTTTAGATTCGAAACTGCTTTCTCAACTTTGATAAGAGTCGGAGGACTGACATCTACATCCCAGCTGGCTTGCCAACATTGAGATCTAATATTTCGTCTTTATTATTATTGTCGTTATTGGTTGTATAAACTTGTGTGAAATATTGTGTTCTGTTTAGTTAACTTAGGTATAGTTTTCCCGTTCAAGACTATTAGGAATTAAGGATACTCAAGATGTGTTGATAGCCTAAGGTGAAGCACGAGTACGTTATGTAGGTGATTAGCTGTACGGTCAAAGGACTATATAGAGACCGGTCTTTTATGAAAAACTGCAGTGGCATGAAGCAATGGACTTTTCTGAGAGACATTGAAACATTTCGAATATTTACTCACCATTTGTTTCTATGTAACGATAGGTGAACTGCGTTAATATTGAAATGGTTGATTAATCACAAGTTGCTAACGTTTGTAAAGACGATCCATCTTCGTGTAAGAGTACCGATGGGTTGGTGAAATTTGACTTCTTTTTTTATCTATTACTTAATGTCAACATTCTTTGTTGTTGCAGTTTATCATGAGAAGTTGGTGTTAGATTTTTTAACGTTGATATCGTGACGTCGAAAACTTGTAACATTCCTCTTTGTAGCAATAATGAAAATATACCCATTTATGAGTTGCCAGTTGAAATTACTATATAATCATTTCCAGTGCTTGATATGTATGTTATTTGATTTGCGATGCTAGTTTGCGCAATATTCTTGATCTGCATATTCGAAAGTTCCTGAATCTGTCGTGTTCATTCACACTAAATTATCTTTCGATTCGTGATGTAGGGTGCACTGGAAAGTAGATATGCGTTTTGTACCTGTCAAAAATGTATGATGGTACTTCAGGGCTGGTTTGTACCAACTCCCAGTTTCTGAATATACGAAATGAAGTGGTAGGCCAGTTTAGCATTTGCCATCTGACACTATCTCTGATGACGGCAAGACATCTAAGTACCTTTTAAAAAACGAGTATGTCACGCTTCTCTCCACTCTATTCTATTACATGAATGTGGGACGTGGTCGTCGAAAGTGGGTTGGACCATAGGTGTTTTCGTAGCATCGCACATGTATGGTAGAATCACTGTGTCAGGGATGTCCAGGTTAGACAGATGGTTAAATGCAAGTCAGCCAATGAGGTTGTGAACCTCTATCGTTGGAGTTGGATACGTTTTCCGCATACCGAGTCACTACCTATGTCGATGGTTCAGGATAGTAAGGCCAAGACATGGTATCAGTCCATGAAAGATTTAACCGTTGGTGTGAGTCGTGTAGGCTCGTAGAGACGCGATAGGAATAAATGATTTAGAACTCTTGGTGACATGACTGATGCGGTTGTGAACCTTCATCAATTGAGATGGCCATGACATGTGTTACATATGCCTAACCACCGTCTGCTTCGTCACGATGTTGGCCGAAGTGGGTTCAGACTGGATAAAGGCTCGAGGTGGCCAGACTATAACATGACATCAATGAATGAAGTCGTTGACTGTTCGTTTCAGCTATGTAGGGCGATGACGACTAGCCGGTTGAGGTCCGCGGGACAAGAGGAACCAGTGGTTGGAGAATCTAGGTGATACAGCTGAAAACCGATATCAGTGGCGCAGATGTATGCACACATTATCCTCACATTAACCTCTATACTTAATCCCATCATCTCACTCGTCCTTCCTCTCTTTTACTACTTTCTACCTCTGCTTCCTTTGACCAATTTTTTCCCTTCACCTTCCATTTTATTGTCTTTTTACTTAATGTGCTGATATGAGGTGTGGCAATCTGTATCGTTACACAGTAATGCCTAGTCCTGTGTTGATCTTGATGTTAATGACTGAAAATCGGTCACAACAACACAGCTATATACACTGTGTGACATCTTCGAAAGTTTGGACATTTCTAGTAATCCTCATTTATTTCTTATCTCTTCTTCCATCCACTGTTATCTACCTTTATGCCAATCTGTTTCTGTCCACTTGTTGTTTCCGGGCTGTTGTGAAGTGTGGCAACTTGAACCGATGTACTTTATCCAGACTGTACATTGATTTGTGTGACTCTATCATTGTCCATAAAGCTTCACTAATGTGACTAACTTAATTCAAGGAGAAGACAATATATAGAGAATTCAAATGATTGGGTTAAATTTCATTTTAAACTGCTTCGTTTTTGTCTACTGTTTCGTGCTCCAGGTTGATCACACTGTTGTCATGTACTTACTGGATCCAAAAGGACAATTTTCCGATTATTATGGGCAAATTAAACCAGTACAAGAAATAGCACGAAGTATTGTCGATAAGATGGATGCATACAAAGACTAATGCGATATATATCTATGTATGTCTATTCCTTAGCAATGTGTATAGTGTAGAATTGCTAGAGTGTGTGTAAAACATTTATATATCCAGTTATCATGTATACATCCTCTTTTTGTATGTAAATTTTTTTCGCTTCGTAGAATGTACTACATGTTTTTCTATCACTATGTATTTAATTAATTAACTCATTTTCTCTTTATGCAATCAATAGTTCCTAGTCTGTTTCAGTTTGCCTATTATATTTTTAATAATTTAAATATATCTTTGTTTTTGACTTTAAATCCTGGTAAATGAAAGATAAATAAACTAGAAAAAGACTTTAAATTTAGCCTACTATAATTTACCGACAGCCAAAATCAACTTAGAACCTCGTACACAAGTGCATTGTCTGCAGTTACCACAATTCACAGTAGTGCACAAAGAACAGGTGGTTAGAAAAAGAGTAATTTCAAAGTAGACGAAGTTGCGTGAGACAATAAACAATCTGGAGATGACGGTTAGTGCAGATGTTCAAGCCTTGGAAAACATCAAAGAGTGAATACATCTGCGCCATTGTGACTGATTTCCAACCATGTCACAGAGAATCCTCAACCACCGATTTTTATGGTTCCGAGGACTCCAACCAGGTAGTCTGGATCTCCCAACACGATTGAGACCAACCATCAGCGACTTCATCAACTGATGCCAGGTCTTGATCTGGTCACCCTGAACCCTGTCCCAACCCAATCCAGCTTACCGTAGCATGGCATAATCAGGTAGGGTGTGGCTGTGCATGCGCAACACGTGTCCAAGCTCTCTTATTCGAACCTCATCAATCGACTTACCTGTCTTACCTAGTACCCTTCGCCTGACCTCCACATTGCTCGTTCGGTGATTTCATCAAAGTCGAGCAATTTTACGAAGATAACTGTAACCAAAACCGTGCAACTGCTTCATATCTTGTACTTTTAACGACCTTGTCTCACAGATGTATCACAAGACAGAGAGAAATACAGCACAGTATAGTTAGATATCTCGGCAGTCGGCCTGACAGATGAAACAAGTTAGGAAATACCAACGAGCCTTCTGTATCTGATCTGAGATTTCGTCAGCAACCAGCCCGTTCGTCATGCTGATGCAACTTCTCAAGTAAGTGAAGTAGTCGACACATTCCACCTTTTCACTCCCTATCCTTAGACGGAGTCATTACGGACCAGTCCTAGAGCATCATTTTGCATTTGACAGGTGCGAGACGCATCCCAAACACAGATTTGTTCTCAGGGCTTTCAGAAGATCCTGCATTTCGTCAGTATCTTCATGTTTTAGGACAATATCGTCTAGATACTCCAAGTCAACCAGATGATCTCCAGGGAGTAGATCAGTCCCTGTGAATCCAGACACACTAAGGGTTTTGTCTATTAGTACATCTATAACAAAGCTAAACAGGAATAGTGACAGTGGTTATCCGTGGTGGATACCATTAGTTGTCGTCAATTCAGATGACAACTCTCCATAAGCCATTACACGGCTGTGTTCGAGTCGAGAGCTTTGATTAGCGTTATGATTTATAATAACTCCACTTACTGTTATATAGACACTAATGCTGAGGATCTACCTCAAGATACCGTGAATTGACATCTGTCTGAACAAGGCTAACCGACTGTTTACCTTCACGTTCACACAACTGACACAGATAAGCTGTGTATATTCTAAAAATCAATCTTACAAGTGTGTTAGCATCTTTTGTATGGAATGTTTTAAGAAGGTCCAGACAACCGGTTGAGAGTTCTATTTTCACCGTTATTTTTTCCTACAATCTTGTCCCACATACAGTGTAGTGTCGCTTATGCGGGTTCACCAAATGACCTTCATATCACATGATGCAACCCAAAGTTTTCCAGCATACTATTAGGTTTTTTGAAAGGGGGCTTTGTACTACTAGTTTTAAGATAATCCGTAGTTAATTACATTGTTTTTTTCAAATAACCATGATAAGAATGGATATGAATCTATCCTTTTCGTTAATCCAATGCATACTTTTCATTTCCTTCCTGCCGATGACCTTTATTTAACCGAGTGTATACAGCGTTTCATGCACGTTTTCGTGGTACATTTCATTTCTAGTTTTCTGACTTTTTATGAGTGGAGTACTTTGTGGAGTTTTTGCTCCATTGGCTTACGGAGTTGGCTTTTAACCAGTGAGTTACGCGTTTGAACACCGCTCCACTTACCGAGGTTCGCGTTGATAGATAGTGGTATAATCAACCTTCATACAATAGGTGTGGCTCGTTGCCTACTGCACGGATGTGCACGTGGTTGCAGAGTGGATTTCAACTTTGCAAGATGGTATCTATGCTGCTGAGATTGTAGGGTGACATCTGTCGTTTCAAAGTCAGATGGCTTTCATCAGCACTTTGCAGGATATGAGTTAGTACCGATGATAACTTGAATATAGGTGGATAGTCTGTTATCAAGTAGAACTTTGAGCAGATTGTATTTCAGCGAAGGAAATGAAAGGCAGGTAAGCTATTGTTCATCACTTAAGGGTTTTTACTTTTGTTTGTAGAAGCCACTGGGTCACCATTTTGAATACTGCCACTTCTCCTCCTCTACCGAGATTTAGGCACAATAAGTGTGATCTGCTGTTAGAACCTTTACGTAGTTAGTATGGGCAGTCTTTCTTTGGGAAATGGGTCAGAATTTGTTATCTCCGAAGTAACAGCATTCAAAAACCCTGTTTTCGTTATTGACGTACGTTTTAGTTTAGTAAGTTCAGACTGTGTGCCTCTTGCTAAAAGTTCAGAAATTTAAGACATTTTATGCTGCAGTGTTTTCATTTACTTTAATTTTTTTGTTGTACATTAAAGTATCAGCTAGCTGAATAGTAATGCAAATTTCCATTCTAAGTAGTTTATGAATTACTTTTCCGATTACAGAGCTGTAATGTAGTCCTGTTGGAGGTCAATTGTGGTCCGAATAGATTGTTGGTAGCGTCTCTGACTGTAGCGCTGGGTGACCCCGTCTTGAGTCTCTTAGGGGTCATCACTTTATCTGGGGTTTAGATACATCTTGCTACCGAGTCCCAGGAAGCACGAAACCTACGTTAAACAGGGTTTCTTGTTCACATCGTCCAACCAACTGACAGTGAAGTTCCTCCATTTCAACCAGTGTTTTTGGATTTATGTAGAAAATTGAGTTACTAACTTTACCTTGTTAGTTGGTTGTAGATAATCGTCGGGAAACTTTGAAACTAGGTTTCGTGCCTGCTAGCACTCATAAACAATGCATATTCGCAACCTAGAAGGAACTGACGTCCACTCAGATTTGAACATGGGCAACCCAGTGTTGTCAGTAACGTTACCAGTGAAGTATTCAGATCGCGATTCACTTCCTGTAAGACTAGATTAGGTGCATTGATTAGTCTCTGGAGAGTAATCAGTTCCATGTTTTCTAGCCCTGGGTGCTGACCGAGTTCTGTCGGTCTTTTTGCATTGAGGCTACCAAGCTAGGAGGCGCATTGTTGTGGTGTACTGGGATATGTTAGTTTGTTGAAGGCCACTGGCAGGCACCCCTGCTTGAACTATGCTTTGTGCTTGTTGACGTATCTGCAAATTTATGTTGGGCAGCATCATAATGTGTGGAGCAGTTTATTGTTTTCAGACATCATATTTCAGCATATAAACAAAGCCATCTTTGTTGTCATTAAACTAAATATATCAGTCCGGAAAAAATAAGTTGTAGACGTTAAATCACTAGTATGTGGCTAGTTCAACAGCTTTAGTCATGAATGATAAAGAAATGTAGTTTACAGTGTTAATTTTTATGCCTCTCCGGACAATTACTTTTCAACTAACTTGGTGCTTCTCCTATTCTACTCAAGAATTACAGTGTAGTATTTCTTCATTATCTGATTGACTGGCTTATTTATTTATACAAACTTAAATGGGTGCACTCTCTAGGAACGGTTGCGATTTTTCTGAGTATCAAGAATTTATTTCCCGACATGTTTGCTTGTAGTTCTTTAGACTTGTCAGTCAGTCAGACATAACTTTCGTTTGACCGCCTAAGCTCACTAGTTAGCGGTTCTAAGCATCAACCTGACTAAAATGCTGGAAATCAGTTCACTCTTAGGGTCACCACGTTACGGATGTTACGAAGATACGGTCGAAAATCTCAAGCCTACCTACAGTTACCATGTCGCACAACTGTAACTGCGCACAAGATAGCTAATCTATACACTTGCTGTTTAATTTGTGGTTACGTATGTCTCTTGCGTCGTCGATAGTTTTGGCAAGCGAATGAAATAGCAGAGTTCATTCTACGGGTATCAGTTATCTTGTCTTCGTCGAATACTTAATTTCCGAGTTCATTTGTCTGTTAATTTATACACTCAAGGTTGGGGCCACTTCGTATAACCTAAAACGTAGTAAAAGATTACTATGTCTTGCTTTGAAAGTAACTTTATTTCTGCAGAAGTTGTCAAGTACAACATTTAATTTTTATGACTAAGGTGCAGAACTGTAACGATTATTCAACCAGGTATAGCAAATCATCACCATTGAAAATTCCACTTTCTGTCTTCAATAAACCTATGGCAGGGATGTTTTTACTCAGTTGGAGGGACTATGTTAGAAGTTAGAAAGACAACATGACTCACCATGTCATGAAACTGATCTAGCTTTTGCAGTCACTGTCTGTTGATCTTAGTCAGACAGGAGAGGGGAATCTACTTGCTATGGATCGTGAAAACGTTTGGAGAAAATTATCACGGTTTTGGTCGGTATGCGGCGAAATCTGTGGCAGTTGAGAAAGTTTCTTTAGGAATCGGTTGATTTCATGGTATTCACCATGGATAAACCAATGGAAACAATTGATGCGTGACAAATACTCTTAAGTCGATTAGTTACTCAAAACGTCTCCGTCTAAGAGTGGTTCACCACTAATTAGTGCCTTGCTTCAGGATGGCCTTTCTGAAGTTTTAATGAGAAGCCGTGATCTCTGACACTAACCTAGTAGTAAGTGAAGACAGTTACTCACCAAAGAAACTGGATTATAGTTCCTCTACATTTCAAATTGACAGAGCTTAGGAAGCAGTGACCACTGCACCCGAATTAAGCGAATGACTTAGCTCGGTCCCATTTGGGGTCGTGGGTGCCTGCTGGTGAGGAGTTCAGTACTTAAAACATAGCTGTCCATTTCTTCCTCATGTTGATGCGTGCTAAATACTATGAAGTCTTATTATTTCTGTGGATTTTTCTTTTCCGAAATGTGGAAACACCAACTGATGCACATCATAGTATAACAGTCT